GAATTGTGCTATGGAATGCAGAAACTTACTTCACATGTTTTATTTTAACGTACTCGTCTTACTTTATTTATTTGTTTAACGTACGCAGATAAGAAATTAAAATAGAGGAGTCGTTTTCTCCTACAATAGAACCACTCACTAGCCAATGTTCCTTCTCTGAATACTGTACCATCGACAATATTCTTATCAATATTAATATCCAGTACAAAATGATATTTTATTCAAGATCGTAATGATGTAGTCAAGATGGAAATTGTGCTATGGAATGCTGTAAATTCACATGTTTTGTTTTTTCATTAACCAATATTCCTTTTCTGATATTGTACCATGGATATGATTGTGTTGGATAGTGATGTATTTGCACAATCATCAATTCGTTGGATGCTTATGTTCTTACCCGTTTCTTTCTACATATAAATCAATCTGTTTCTTTTAATCAATTGTAGGATTAAACAGATCTAGTTTACGTTCATAAATTCATTAGATACTTAGTTTCTCTTTGCACTCTACTCGTACAATCTTTATTTTTCAAATTGTAGGATGAAACAGACCTAGTTTACGCTCATAAATTCATTGGATACCTCAAAAGACAGATCATTTGCTTCGTTTTAGACACAAATCAATACAAAATCTGCTGTATATTGACTGCTTGAATTTGACTATGATGACAAGAAGCATCCACTCTGCTGCTCTATTTTCCACTCAATATTAGTATACACCCTGTATATGCGCACGAGGACAGACAGGATACAACACTGATCTCATTTATCCAGATCCATCACGTGATGACTTGTACAGGAGAAGCTCTACTGACCCTTAATCCTCAATGGTTAAAACTCTGTCATAGTTTACTTCAATCTTCGATTAAGTTATCATGCTAAGTTTTTGTTAGGCTAATTGATTTCAATCGTATGTATTTTATACTGGATACAGCATATGAATTTGTGATAGCGCCACTAGTGTACTGCATTTATGCAATTTACCGTTTTGAATTAAAATAAAACTAGTGCAAACTCCCGTCGCTTTACTGACGGTTTACGATAATGTGCTCATTTAACAGAGGTTCAGTAACTATCAGATCGCTGACTAACGAACATTATCCTCTTAGAAATACTTTTTGTAATATGATATATAGCAATCAAAAATAACCGGGACAGGGGAACTATAATAGGGTAACACTACGAATTGCAAGAGAGCAATAGAACTAAGAGTACCTACTGATGTGTATCAATCACTTTTCAAATTTCGTTAAGTAACTTTCGTATTAGTATGTTTACCGAATAAGGATGGTTACTATATACAGTATAGAAATCAAAAGTAATTGGGACAGGGGAACTACAGTAGGATAACACTACGAATTGCAAGAGAGCAATAGAACTAATAGTACCTACTGATGTGTATCAATCACTTCTACCTTCTCAATAATATTTACATAAATCCTAGAGATCATTCATTTCTATACCAATTCAAATTTCGTTAAGTAACTTTCATATTAGTAATCGGGACAGGGGAACTACAGTAGGATAACACTACGAATTGTAAGAGAGCAATAGAACTAATAGTACCTACTGATGTGTATCAATCACTTCTACCTTCTCAATAATATTTACATAAACCCTACAGATCATTCATTTCTATACCAATTCAAATTTCGTTAAGTAACTTTCGTATTAGTATGTTTACTGAATAAGAATGGTTACTATATACGGTATTAATGCTATGTTAAGGTTGGTGAGCGAAACTGTCAAATATATAACAGATAGTATTATCATTCGATATTATATATATCCTAGTAACAGTAATATACTATGCTATATTAAGATTAGTTAATGGTCCAGAGCACATTATGATAACTAATGTACGGTGATGGACATACCAAGTTAAGATTAGCAGGTACTGTAAGATATCTACAGTGCGGTAGAATGTCCTTCGTACTGTGGTCAATTCTATACCAATCATTATAATGTGTCTAAGGATCGCTGTCGTATGCAAGCAAAGCTTGCTCTGTCGATAACAACCGTTATAAGAAAATGTAACAATCAAAATGGCTGTATAGAAAACTCTATAAAGATTCTATGTTTATTCAATTTTCATCAGAATATTACATGAAATCAAAATTTAAAGGCCCAGTGGCCACCCTTAGCGATATAACGAATACTATTTTAATAATGAGTACTCTGCAGAAATGACTACCTTAGAGCTATTCGTTTTACATGAAGAAATCTTTAGGTTAAAAGTACTGTAAGAATCTTATACTGACCTATTGAAATGAACCCATAATCAGAGTCATTTAACAGTAGTATAAATACCCCCGCGCTGCTCATTTCAAGGGAGGGTCGGTGGGATTAGTATACTTGATAGATGACATGAAAATAACACACCTGAGATTTAGTTGTCGTCTGTACTCTAGCATACTGTAGAGTCCATACCACTACAGCCTATAGTTATGGCTACCAAATATCTCTTAGGATAAATATAGAAGTTACGCTACCTTACATTATACTAAACATGGCTAACAGTCTACAATCTTAATACTAAGCTACATTACAATGATATAGGTAAGTAGAAATGGCATGCTTTCCTAATGAATAGCCTAGCTATATTACTACAATCCTGTCAAAGCATTGTATCTTAAATATTTAATTTCTGTTCCCTTCTTGCCTAACAGTATGAAAGATTTACAGCATCAAAGTAACGACATTTAACATTAGAACATGCCACTTCGTTTCACTCATAACGACTTAAGAATGTCATCCTACGAACAGAGATTGCAAATGATCAAGTCCACGATTGTCAAATCATAAAAGCTACTTGTGTCCTTTCAGTAACCTAGTATTTGTAAATAAAATTGTAACCAAGTGCATTAGTATTACCCAAACACCATCTAATTAAGACTGTAATCTTCACAAAGTTTTCTTGTAATTGTTTTTATCCAGATAAATAAATCTAGAACAAATCTTACCGTTATAATCTATGGCCCATCTTGTATCCTTGACCTTTCTCACCACATATTATTGTCTTTTTGAATGAAATTGTAATTTCTTCATGTTAAAATGGTAATGTTATTATCATCATCTCGCTTTTCTACTAAATCTATCAAAACCTTTAATCATAATAATCAAATTTTGACCAAAATGGAATGTACTTTAATTATTGTAAGTAATTTTTCCCAATACTTTTAGCGCTCAAGTTATGTGCCGAACCTATTAAAATTACAGTTAAAAGCGGAAGTCTATTTAGGTAAACTCCATCTTGCATCACTGCCGTCTAATTACTCTGTCTTCGTTTTAAACAAGTATTTTCGTTTCACTTGCAGGTAGTAGAATGGATATAACAGGAGAATAGTATTGTAATGAGTCAATTATTACTAAAGAGAAAATCTCCTTATTCGGTGTTTTACACGTCTATATTTGCTATCCAGCTCAATTTCAATTTTATTCTAAAATTAAAAATAAACAAGACAATGAAAAGGATAGAGTTTAATTGCCTTCTACTCTTGCCACAAGTAGCCTCTAATATTTAACTAGAATGTGTTGATTAAATGTAGTGCGAAACTTTTCTATGTTAGCTTGTGAAAGCAAGTCGTTTGTTATTATAGTTTAAATTTTCATCTACTAGTAATAAATAAAAGATAGTCTTTCATCATTGTAGATTAAAACTCTATCGTTAAGAGTGTAGTCTAATTTTGCACATTAATTATTAAAGTTTCAGTCTATTCCATACCTAGTTCACAGTTATAATTACTAAAAATATCATGGGACACGTTAAAATTGTTTCTATTCTATATTAATTCTGTTCCTTTTATTTTCATGACGTTAGCATTAATCTCTATAAAAACTCTCAACCACTTAAAATGCTTTCTCGCCATTCCTAGTGATCTCACTAGGATGCAAAGTCCGCTACATACCGACAGTAAAATTCAAATCAATATTGTTAATTTTGGCTACGCATTATGTGGCCGTACAGCACAAGGTTTCGGCTTCAATCGTATCCTGAAAATTCATTAAGACTTTTAGTTATTATATGGAATCCTGCAGCGTACAAATTACCGTACTCAAGAAAGACGTGTTTGTAGTATCACCAATCCAGTTTATACCTAATGTATCTCATGTTTCCTTCTAGACATTGAGTATTAACTAATTTTAATGTTGTACGCCACCTGTAGGATACAATTGATCTACTTTCCGTCATCCATTTGCATCATCATAAATCGATTTGACATTAGTATTCCGCTCATGTTGTCCTATACACAGATCAATCTTCCTTAAAGCTGTAGGATAAAACAGATTTATTTCACATATTGTTTACACCATGGTAAATTCATTGGGTACTGAACAGATTACTGTATTCGCTTCGCATTAGACACAGATTAGTGCATTGAAAAGTGTGCGGTGTACTGATCAATCTTATTTTCTTAATGCTTGAAGGGTAAAAGGAATAGTGTATCACGGTAACATTTTTGCATTTTGCATACGCGTATATCATTCAGTAACCATTTATTTTTTAGGGTAAAATCATGAACTACAATATATTAATAGACTGTCCTCGCAAAGCTGTGCTGCGATCAGCCAAGTTATGCCCGCTATTTGCCCTCATTTAGTTAACTGTCAAAGCAGAAACGATTCATAAAAAAAGAGCGTTGTAAACGTCAAAAAAGAGTAACTGATATACTGTAAGTGATTAACCGTCATGATAACTTTTTCGATATATCACAGGTATAGTAAAATCATTCATTGGCAGATAATGATGTTCACAACCATTAACTCAACTTCGTTGAGGTCAATATAACGGCTTCTAGTTATAAAACTGCAATCGTATTGATCGCCATCTTCAATGTTGTCGATGTAGTCGATGTAAATAGCATCACCCACGAATTGTTCTTTCCGAGCTTTGCTTCCACTCATAGTACAATTGGCAATGGTGCATAAGTTCAATATTTCGTCAATAAACACTTTTTATTACTGTTACTTTAGCAATTACAACCTCATACAGTACAACAGCAAACCTTGGGATTGGATTTTCATTATCTGGTTGCATGCATGTAATCGTCTATCATGAATGAGCAACATAAAATAAATAAAATGATCGTGTCTCTCTTACTAAACTGTAAAAGGCTACAAAATGTTCTATTCTCCTCTTGTAGAATACTTTTTAACTCATTAGTTTGCTATTACTCTTGAATTGTGATAGAAACAGTTCAATTCTCATTCTCTCGATCGGCTACCAATTCATACAGCCAATTAGTATAGTAATCAAAGGCCTCGTCAATGCCATGGCACTGCTTCACTGTTTTCTATCGGTACTTTGCAAGAGTTAATAACGCAATGACAGTAAGTTTCGGCAGCAAGCTATGGACCTAGAAGGACTGATTAATAAAGTGATATGAACAAGAAACGAAACTTTCTGTCCCATTATTCTCTGCCTCTTTATCACATATTAGAATCATAAAACTGTTGTAAGGTTGAATCTTAGACTTTATTTAGAAAATCATCTTGTTGATAATGACGCTCTTAAATTCTAGTTTAAAAATGAACACTCTACTATAATTCTTCTGTTTCAATGAAACTTATTAAAATGGTATTGCTATATATCACTAGGGAGTAAATTGACGTCATGGAACTACGTGTTATCGCAAAATCTTGAATATTAATCATATCCTTTAACATGATATCACCTTAGCTTAAGATGGGCAGAATGCAAAAAATTTTAAGTAATTAAGTATGCGGATACGATCTTAAACACTAAAAATGCGAACCTGATATTCGCTCTTAGCCTTACGTCTATAATAGTAGCAATAGAATAAAGCCATTCATTGAAAATTCAACGCCGCACAATTAAGGAAACAAGCTCTCTTACTCTATTTTACCAGTTGTAAGCCATATAAAATTATTTAAAGCGTATCCATTTCACAATAAAAATATAAACGCAACGTCAAATACTAACACCAATTAATTTACTTCATAGGTAAATCGTTTTAATCAATTTTTGTTTCATTAGCATATTAAAATAGTACTCTCAAGATGTAATAATCTAATACAAATAGGATGTATTCAATCTAAAATTTTTTAAAGAAATACACTTGGTAAGTAAACTACTAAATAAACGTTCTCCTGTTATTGCATAAAAATTACCGATATAAAGCATTAGCTTAATAATAGTGATAATTCTGTGCGAAGTCGTAATCGTTATGCCGAGTAATTCTAATAGGAGTAAAATTCACAAAGAAAGATGGCAGAGTGAATTGCAAATTATGGTTACCATTAAAATGCTTTCATCATTTGCAAGCAAGTAATAAAATTAGACGAACAACATTAGACGCTAAACAGAGAAGTAGACGATGCAAATTGTTGCTTTAAATCTTAATAAAAAAATAATATTGAATTCTATGTAAAAAATCTATAACACTACCGAACGTATTGAAGTAGAAAATGATATGCCACATCATGTTAAGTGAATCATGTAATTCAGCACCGATAGAGCACTTAAAGTTATGTATAAATGCAGTGGGTGGAACACGTACACAGTAAATATATCTACGTGTTACTTAGTTTCCTTTTGGTTCCTTTCCATTTTCCCTTTCCGCATTTTCTAAGATTTTTATCACTGGCGAATTAATGGTAGATAGAACCTCACAAAATACACCAAATGCTCGATTACCACATTCCTGTAAAATATCCAACAATTTTCCCATTTTTCTGTGATAATAATTGTCACAGTTTATATTATCCTCATGATACATTTTTACAACTAAGCAACATCATCGTATCGTATTGCAGACTTACTCATAATCGGTTGGCTGGCATAGAATGATTTCCTTTAGATAAAATGTTAGAATTTCTCGACCGTATAAGTGATTACAAATAGGCTTGACGCTTGATTGACATTCCCCAATAATTTTGACGTAGTGGCTGCGTAAGATTTGTTTATGTATTTCCAACATTCCAATTCCGCTGATCTTACATTTTGGTATTTTTGATGCTGAAGCAAATAATCAAAAAAAATTTAAGTTAATTATTTGTCGCTTATTGTAATATTATAAGATATTCATATATGCGTTATAGCAGCTGCGATTATAATTTTCAAAGAATAACTCAAACATAGTCAATAGATATATTAGACACTTTGCCTAACTAACCACCCTCTTCCTCTGTTAACGACATAGGAGTATCCTCTCCGTTATCGCTAGAAGCATCGACTGTTAAATACAAGAGATAAAGAATTATTATTAAACCAATTTATAAGGTTATAGATTTCATTTAATAAATTAATGAGTTCGATCCGCCGTACAATAAAGTACATACTTTTTAAAAATTTTACTGAATATTTTGTCTATTGTTATTACAGTTATTTCAGTTAGTAAATTTATGACAACATCGTTTCAAATGTATGAGCGCTATTATTGATAACTTATCGATTGAAGTAGAAATTAATGTTGAAATATTATTAAAGCAATTTGTTACTGTTTAATAGATCAATAAAATTGGTTACTCATGTGAGTTCCAATTAAGCCTACTGTATATACTGATACATTTCATAAAGGAATAATTAGCTACAAAAGATTCCAAAGACAGCACCGCATTTGTGGTATCACCTGGAATTTTATCTAACCAAGGCTTTAATTGGTACGAGGAAAGCCAGGTACATTCACAATTAAGGCAATCCAGAAATGATTTATCATCACTTAATCCATCTTCGATATTTACTAACTCTCCACAACGCGGACACTTAACACTCACTTTTATTCGTATATGACTCATATTTGGCATCCATTTAGTAAGAATGATTCTTAAAGCTGATTCAATTACATCCTTAACATTGAGCTCAACGGCTGTTTCAGTTAGCCTTCTTCTTACTTCTTTAGATTTTAAATTTGGGTGTCGATAAACTAATTGTAAGCCTATGACCGTTGATAACTTATCGATAATCAAATCAATACCAGGACTAATTCGAAATGAAGCGCAGTTTTGATATAGTTTAACTCTGCCATTATTCCATTTACGCTTCTGCAAACATCGAGAAATCTAGCAGTAAAAGATATTATAAGAAATATAAGGTAACTCCTTCTCATCAAACCCTAAATAGATGTATTTCGATGTAGTGCTATTCGATGGATATAATGCATCGCTCTTAGGTCGTGTCTTTAGCAGACAAGGAATAAGATAGATATGATCTTTTCCTTGTAATTCACTTGCTTCACAAAGAATATCGTAGTGAGTCATAAGAGATAATACGTATTTTCTTTCTTCATCGTCTAAATTAAATTTGCTCCAAACGTTTCCAATGTATTCTTCGCTTATTTTACCTATATTCTGAATCTTCTCGTAGTCACTCCAGTCATCAGCATGAGAAGACTTGAAAAATGAAATTCGAATTAATGAACAAAACACCTCAATTAGCCAATCAATATCCGATACGACCCAATTACTCAGAATCTCGTCTTTATCGCAATAGACAATTTGTCCGATATTATGCAAGTAAGATAATAAACTATCTAACTTCTCGCCTTGCTTAGATAGATGATGTTTGTCTATCAAGTCTTTAACTTGTGTTTTAGTAAGTAACTTCTTTATTGTTTTATCTTCTCTTTCTCCACGAAGTATTTGAATGATTTCATACCATCGAACTGGAATAGGATCCGTTATAAATGGTAATTTTTCTGCAATTTTAGTAAAGGTTTGACATAACCGTTTACGTATCTCGTCTCTTAGATCTTGAGTTGCTTTGCTGTTATCGTTGCCATCACCATTCATAGCTAAGTGTGATAAGTATAGATGTTTGGAAAAGGCCTTACGGCCAAATTCATGTGATATCTTGTTATAAGCTGCTTGTATTTTTCTATTTTTTTCTTCTTCATTATTAGCTACAATCTTATCTGCATGACTACCGATGACAATGACAATAGGCAATTCATAATTTTTACCATCGATCGTAATCTCATTTCTAACATTACCCTCTAAACCATGGCTTAACCCCTTGCATCCATGTACAGATGATAACCATTCATTCATTCTTGCATAGTAGGTTATATCTGATTTTGAGTTGTTCCTTTGTTGTATAGCGTCATTAATCTCTTCAGCGATATTAAATACAAGAACATAATACTATCACACGACATAAATGGTTGATGTGTAACGTGATATTCTGCCTGATCTCCGAAGTCGCACAATACAGCATGTAGATTGTCTATTTTTGACTGCTGTGATTAATTACTTTCATTACTATCTGTATTTGCCTCTTGTATCTTAGAAAGTTTCGGTCTAAGTTTGTTATACTTGCTGCGAAGTAATTTATCGAATACATTCGTTCTTTGCGATTTCATATTGGATAAGGTCTGTCTTGTAACTTGTAAAGATGGCGATTGAAGAACTGCTAATCCAACTTTACTATCAGCGAGAGTGCCCAATCCAGTCTTCACCATATCACCAGTATCGAATGTAATCAATTCTATTAGCGGATGATTACCACTAGCTACTTGTGTTGGTGCTTCATTAGCCAATAGTGACTGCTTAATTAGCACTTTGAGTAAAGTTGTTTTACCTACATTTTCTGGTCCGATAATCATAATTCTTATAAGATTGTTCTTACATTTTCCTTCTTGTAATGCGCAAATGAAATCGCGAATATAATTCAGCCCAACTGTGTTACGAAACGAGAGTTAATATGGAGGATGAAATTAAAAAGTTTTGTTTTCAAATTAAAAAATTATACAGTATGTACTGATTTTCATTTGAACTATACCTTGCATATTGTGTGATCTTTAACAAATTATTATAAATTATAATACAGGAGCTGATAAATACTGTTTTGTCAAATATTTTCGCTGTATCATTTATTCATAAACTTATTACACTTTATTATAGTATATTTAAAGTTAACCTGACATGACTAGATTAACTAAACTGATTTCTATATAAGTCTAACAAAAATATCCTAAATTAATGCCATAAATACAGAAGATAGAATATATTATGATTAAATACTGTATATCTTTTTTGCTACATGATAAAATCTAAACGAGTTTTCACACAATACTATATATATCTTTACTATTCTCGATCGTCAAATCTTTTATTATACATGCTATACTATGACTATTTAAGTAAATTTAAATGTGATGATATATAGTAGAAAAAAAATACAGTACATACAATAGTCTATTTAATAATGTCATTGTATATTTAATATACCAATACAACGATACTTACAATCTTTATGATTGATATGGAATTATGCGATGATAGAATAATAGAGTTTATATAGTATTGACGTATAGTAAGACACAAGTAGAGAAGAGTAGAGTAGTAATGGTAATTTGTATTGAATGACGATTGAATGGCGATTTAGTGTATAAGCATTGCAGTGTATTGGTGGTTTTAGTATACGTATATCCGTATAATAACCATACGATAATCATTCCATTCGATCATTGCATATATGTACATATCCATTCCATCGTAAATCGCGTTGTCGTTCCAATAGAAAACCATATATATCAATCAAATCACGTAAATAATTTTATTAAACAAGTAAATATATTAATAAACGAAAGGAATAATAATTATTTTATAATTATCTGTTCGTAACTGTACCTGGATCATTAGCCACATCATGTAAAATCCAACCGCAGTTTTGTATTTTAGGTTCTGGTTGCATACATAATAAATTGCAAAAGGAAGTCATGTTTGTTTTCTTTTCTTTCTTGGACTTTAACATACTGCACAGCGTTCTGTTTTTTTGTTTTCGAGATGACTTTGAATTGATCAATTGGTACTCCTCCTCTGATATTAAATTCTCATTCTTGATTTCAGTTAACAACCCTTCTATAGGTAAATCATGGCAGAGATGATTTTCATAAATGTGTAAAGCGTTGTCAATATTATTCCATCCTTCCATTATTTCCAATCAGCCTGTGTGGAGCGTCAATAATATGGCTATTTTTAGTTTTAGCTATTTCGGTTTTTCATTTCTCACTAATACTGTATTACGTGCAGTAGACAACACTGTAGCAGTAATAAGCTATCACAGCACTTTCAATACAATCCTATCACTCGATTTCATTTCTACTGTAATGTATAAGTAACAACAGATTGTTGTACTCCATCTTGACTTTAACGGCTTCAATTTATAGTTTAGTAGTCAAACAAAGACTCATTGTCGGTATACGAGAAGGATTTACAACGTTGCAACATGGAATAATGTGCGAGTATTTCAACATGTCATTGATATACTCGTAAAGCGATTGCTGCTGTATTGTAATAGTCAGGTATAGTCTATTTTTAGTCTAAACTAATGAATTTTGGGGATTCGGTGATCAAAATAAAAGCAAAATAAATGGATAATCCCACGCATCCACCCACCACGAGCGGCGCGGGGGTATTTATACTATTGTTAGATGACTGATTATGGGTTCATTTCAATAGGTCAGTATAAGATTCTTACAGTACTTTTTACCTCAAGATTTCTTCATGTAAAACGAATAGCTCTAAGGTAGTGATTTCTGCAGAGTACTGATTATTAAAATAGTATTCGTTATGTCGGTAAGGGTGGCAACTGGGCCTTTCAAGTTTGATTTGATGTATTATTCTGATGAAAATTGAATAAACATACAATCTTTATAGAGTTTTCTACGCAGCCATTTTGATTGTTACATTTTCTTATGACGGTTGCTATCGATAGAGCAAGCTTTGCTTGCATACTCAAGCGATCCTTAGAGTCATTATAATGATTGGTATAGAATTGACCACAGTACTAAGGACATTGTACCGCACTGTAGATATCTTGCAGTACCTGCTAATCTTAACTTGGTAAGTCCATCACCGTACATTAGTTATCATAATGTGCTTTGGACCATTAACTAATCTTAATATAGCATTTCATCCGTGAATGCATTATTGAAAAGTAGTATTCTACAAGCATTGCTGTGAATATAGTAATGCCTGGCTATTACCGGGATATATATAATGTCGAATGGTAATACTATCTGTTAATTATTAACAAATAAGTACATTATCGTAAACCGTCAGCAAAGCGATGTGAGTTTGTACTAGTATTTATTGAAGATACCGTGTAATGTAACTCACTGACGTTATTAACTGTAACTATATATGAGTATTATATTCATAACATAATCATTATTGACGTAAAAAGATAATCGCTACACGCAGATATTTACATCTACAGTAAAAATATTCCATGACCATGTAAAATTAGTTAATCGAATCAGCTACACAATAGTTACTTAATACTGATTGTGGGTACCGGACTAATTAGGCATTGTTCGAAATAGTTTTAAAGTATACCGTACAAACATGACATCGTCAAAGTTTTATTATATTTCTTTCTCTCTCCGTTCATATGAACGGGGAATTCTCACTAGTAGGATGAATGGAAGAAATAGGCATCATCATTTCTAAAACTACTGGTATGGTTTGTTACTAGATGTCATCATGCAATTTCATATTACTGTATTATAAACACAAGTGAGTCAAGGACTATCAGTCAATAATAACCTGTAGCGCAGCATGGATATTTTGCACGCAGCTTGAAGACAACACGCGTCAATTCAGTACGAGTGAAAATTGGGACAATCATCTGCATAGCTATGACTAAATATGGATTAGACAGTAAATCTAATTTGGACAATCTGTTGATGGAGTATGTCAAGAAAATGCTCTACTCTGTACACTCATTGACTCATTTGATGGTGGCTAACTACCTGTAAGAGTATCATTGAGTTGAGCGATCTGTGAATGGTGTATTGATCTGATCAATGATGGGCTTATCAGACTGATTGGAGTTGATGGCCAGTGGATATCGGTGGTGATGTCACTGGTTGAAATAGCGGATAGTCGATCAACGATGGGATGGATTCTTCTACTGGATATTGGCTAAGCAGGAGAAAGGCTGAAAACGAAAGGGAAGAAAACTGCAGCAAGGCCCGTCAAGGTAGCGCAATCAACTGAGAGCAATGTTGGCTACGTTCTCCAAACTAACTATACAGCACGTTTCTGCAGCTAGTGTACCGCGTCAGACATGCAATCCACTTGAAATGACTCAAGAATCAGTCTGCACATCATTAGTATTAGAGATGATCGTCTCTGCCAGTCTACCTCATGCGATTACAGTCATGAAGAAGGACGGACATCTTGTTTTATGACTACAGTACTAGAATTGATTGACCAGGCCGTTCTCCAGTTCTCCTACTTGTTGCAATCGTGTCCTTCGAGTAATTATTATTCCATTTGAAAATGGGAAAATGGAATAATAATAAATTAATATAACGTTCTCTTCTATTGCATTGGAAGCGTGACACAGTGACAGGATTGCATTGGTTTGGAGATGACGGTGTGCAATAGAGACCCTTAACAACCCTTACAGACTAAAGGTCTCTAGTGTGCAATGTTGCGTATTGGCAGTGGTTACCATAATCAGTTAGTCACTGCCGTAATAGCAGGGCGAGCTTTCTTCAACGTTTTACTTCAACTATCTTTTAAACTACTGTAAGTATCAGCATACAGTGTAGAAGGTAAGAAATGGGCCTAGTTACTTTGTTGATAGCCTGCCTGCCTGTTATCCAATACTCCGCTATGATATATGATATTTTGTTGAAGATTGCAATGATGCAGGAAAGATGCAAATTATGCTATGGAATGCAGCAACTTATTTCACCCGTTTTTTTTACCCTTCAAAAATGGAAAAAAGAGTCGTTCCCTTCTAGCATAGAACCACTGATTACTTCATTATTACCTTGTTCTTACTCTCCAAACGTGATATAAACAGTAAAATTTTTACAATGTATAACTCATTGAGGTAATTAATGGAGCAGGGTGAAACCTAGTCAATGCAACAGCACTCTTTCACTATTTTGAATCCAACCTTGCAAGAGTCAATAATACAACAATTGGTTTTCGTAGGTACATGATCCGTTATGACGATCATCTCCACTTACCAGGTTAATTGGAGTTGATGGTAAGTGGATATCGGTGCTGATGTTCCTAGTTGAAATAGAGAATACGATAATGGTGCTTGGAGCGTACACAATCCTCCAATCGTAGCAGATCGTTGATGAAAGATGAGATTGAGAAAAGGGATGAAGAAAACTCCAGCAAGGCCCGCCAACTGAGAAGAATGTTGCCAATGTTCTTCTGTACAGATGCTATCAGTAGTCTACAGTAGGTCATTCAAAGTGGTGTGCAATACGTTATGCTACACTCCACGCTAATAACGCTTGCAGTGGTTGTTTTGGCGCCCAGCGACTACTGGCGCGTAGCGAGTCGGTAAATCACTTTCAGTACTAAATAAGGGTGAGGCGATCCATTTTTCCGCTGATTCGACTCTATCAATGCAAGCGTACAGTATATCATACTGCTCGAAAGCAACTTAGTAATGCGAAGAGGCGGTCCGTTTCTACGGATCGGAAGGAATATCTCAATTTCATTGGTTACTTCTTTCCATTGTGTGAATGGAAAGAAGTAACCAATAAAATTAAGTGAAAGGAAAGAAGTAACCAATGAAATTGAGATATTTCTTCCGATCCGTAGATGATCCATGCACACCGCCTCTTCGCATAACGCCCTTCACTTAGCAACACGTTCTCTTCCATTGCATAGGAACTTTTGGAAGCGTGACACAGTGACAAGATTGCATTGCGTTGGAGACGATGGTGTGCAATATTGCGCATTGGCAGTGGTTACCATGGTCACTGCTTTAGTAGCTGGGTGGGTTTTCTTCAATGTTTTACTTCAAGTAAAATTGAAAGGCGTAAAGTACTCGTTTTTGCCTACTATAGATACCAGCAGACAGTATAGAAGGTAACAAATGGACCTAGTTACTTTGTTGATAGCCTGCCTGTTATAATTGTTATCCAATATTCCGATACGAGTATCTGAACGATGTTGACTGCAAAGTTTGCAGAGAGAGTAGTTGCTACTTAGTCTTAATCCGTTCATTCGGTTGGAGAGGCAACGGATGTATCCTCTGCCATTTTCTTCCTCAGTCATCCATTTACAAATGGTCTTGCGTTGATCGCAGGCATTATTACCTATCAACAAAGTCAACTATTGCCTTATTTTGGACTCAAACTTACGCATACATTTCATATCAGCGTATAGGCATGATAGAGCGCTGATCTCATTTATCCACATCGATAACCTGACGACTTGTAAAGTGAACCGCATTTTTGCACTTTACCATTCTCAAATCCAATAAAGGATAGCATTGCTACATTCCGTGAACATGCTTTGTTGTATTTAATTGTCAGCAATCGCATACACTTGGTTTCCTTGCTAGATTAATTATAAATTACATGATACTTGAACTGAAACCAACGTATCCAATACAAAATGCTATTTTGTTCAAGATTGTAATGATGTAGTAATCAAGATGGAAATTGTGCTATGGAATGCAGAAACTTACTTCACATGTTTTGTTTTAACGTACTCGTCTTACTTTATTTATTTGTTTAACGTACGCAGATAAGAAATTAAAATAGAGGAGTCGTTTTCTCCTACAATAGAACCACTCACTAGCCAATGTTCCTTCTCTGAATACTGTACCATCGACAATATTCTTATCAATATTAAGATCCAGTACAAAATGATATTTTGTTCAAGATCGTAATGATGTAGTCAAGATGGAAATTGTGCTATGGAATGCTGTAAATTCACATGTTTTGTTTTTTCATTAACCAATATTCCTTTTCTGATATTGTACCATGGATATGATTGTGTTGGATAGTGATGTATTTGCACAATCATCAATTCGTTGGATGCTTATGTTCTTACCCGTTTCTTTCTACATATAAATCAATCTGTTTCTTTTAATCAATTGTAGGATTAAACAGATCTAGTTTACGTTCATAAATTTAATGGATACTTAGTTTCTCACCTGTTTCTCTTTACACTCTACTCGTACAATCTTTATTTTTCAAATTGTAGGATGAAACAGACCTAGCTTACGCTCATAAATTCATTGGATACCTCGAAAGACAGATCATTTGCTTCGTTTTAGACACAAATCAATACAAAATCTGCTGTATATTGACTGCTTGAATTTGACTATGATGACAAGAAACATCCACTCTGCTGCTCTATTTTCCACTCAATATTAGTATACACCCTGTATATGCGCACGAGGACAGACAGGATACAACACTGATCTCATTTATCCAGATCCATCACGTGATGTCTTGTACAGGAGAAGCTCTACTGACCCTTAATCCTCAATGGTTAAAACTCTGTCATAGTTTACTTCAATCTTCGATTAAGTTATCATGCTAAGTTTTTGTTAGGCTAATTGATTTCAATCGTATGTATTTTATACTGGATACAGCATATGAATTTGTAATAGCACCACTAGTGTACTGCATTTATGCAATTTACCGTTTTGAATTAAAATAAAATGATAGAACTGCTACATTCCATAATCATAGTTTGTTGTACTTAGTTGTCAGCAATTGCATATAATTGCTTTTCTTGCTAGATTGATTATATAAATTACATGATATTGGAACAGAAACCAACGTGTCCAATACAAAATGATATTTCGTTCAAGTTGTAACGATGCAGTCAAGACGTAAATTGTACTATGGAATGCTGTAACTTATCTCACATGTTTTTTTTAACGTACGAGTATAAAAATTAGAATAGAGGAGTCGTTTCCTCCGACAGTAGAACCACTCATTAACCAATATTCCTTTTCTGATATTGTACCATCGACAGTTTTTTATTGGATACTTCAGAAGACACATCATTGGCTTCGTTTTAGAGACAAGTCAACACAAAGTATGTTGTGCATTGATTGTAGCAGGTACCTACATGGATCAATCTTCCGTTTTACTGCAATACTTGAAAATAAAATTAGATAGTGCATCACAGTAGTACTTGAGTTTTACACACACGTACAGTATATCTGATTAAAGTAATAAGTTACTTTTGTAGTAGATACAGTAACTTGTGTGTGAGTAAAATCATACACCATATCTACAGTACTATTCTTGCAAAGCTGATGCCCTAGTCAATTAAGCTGTGTAATCGGGGACTGTTTAAGGAAAAGAAGTCTGTGAAAGTAAAGAGAGAATTCCCTATATACTATAAGGTATCAACCACCTTGGTAACTTTGACGTTACGATATAGCTACAATATAATAATGAATTGGTAGATATTGGTGTTGACATTCATTAGTTCAACTGGTTTGAATAAATGCAACTGCTCCCAGTTGTACAACCACGTCATCAAGTCAAGAGTTTCATCTTCATCGCTTCAGTATAAATAAGATTGCCAAGTAATCGTTCTTTCAACATTTAACTTTCACTAATTACGCCCTTTGCAATTGTCTATAAGT